TAAGAAAAACAGACCAAAACACAAAAACTTAACACTGAGCAATGAACCTTGAAAATGAGGTCAAGGTCAAATAAAACCTGTGTGACTGCCAAATAGATCATAAAATATTTCCATACACCAAATATAGTTGAACTATTGCATATAGTATTAGAAAAAAAGACCAAAACTCAAAAAACTTAACTTTGACCACTGAACCATGAAAATGAGGTCAAGGTCAGATGACACCTGCCTACTAGACATGTACACCTTACAATCATTCCATACACCAAATATAGTAGACCTATGGCATACAATATAAGAAAAACAGACCAAAACACAAAAAACTTAACTATAACCACTGAACCATGAAAATGAGGTCAAGGTCAGATGACACCTGCCAGTTGGACATGTACACCTTACAGTCCTTCCATACACCAAATATACTAGACCTATTGCTTATATTATCTGAGATATGGACTTGACCACCAAAACTTAACCTTGTTCACTGATCCATGAAATGAGGTCAAGGTCAAGTGAAAACTGTCTGACGGGCATGAGGACCTTGCAAGGTACGCACATACCAAATATAGTTGAACTATTGCATATAGTATTAGAAAAAAAGACCAAAACTCAAAAACTTAACTTTGACCACTGAACCTTGAAACTGAGGTCAAGGTCAGATGACACCTGCCCGCTAGACATGTACACCTTACAATCATTCCATACACCAAATATAGTAGACCTATGGCATACAGTATAAGAAAAACAGACCAAAAAACAAAAACTTAACTATAACCACTGAACCATGAAAATGAGGTCAAGGTCAGATGACACCTGCCAGTTGGACATGTACACCTTACAGTCCTTCCATACACCGAATATACTAGACCTATTGCTTATAGTATCTGAGATATGGACTTGACCACCAAAACTTAACCTTGTTCACTGATCCATGAAATGAGGTCGAGGTCAAGTGAAAACTGTCTGACGGGCATGAGGACCTTGCAAGGTACGCACATACCAAATATAGTTATCCTATTACTTATAATAAGAGAGAATCTAACATTACAAAAAATCTTAACTTTTTTTTCAAGTAGTCACTGAACCATGAAAATGAGGTCAAGGACATTGGACATGTGACTGACGGAAACTTCGTAACATGAGGCATCCAAACACAAAGTATGAAGCATCCAGACCTTCCACCTTCTAAAATATAAAGCTTTTAAGAAGTTAGCTAACGCTGCCGCCGCTGCCGCCGGATCACTATCCCTATGTCGAGCTTTCTGCGACAAAAGTCGCAGGCTCGACAAAAATGCTTATTTTGGCCCCTTTTTGGCCCCTAATTCCTTAACTGTTCGTACCATAACCCCAAAAATCAATCCCAACCTTCCTTTTGTGGTATTGAACCTTATGGTAAAATTTCATAGAGATACATTCACTTAAACTAAAGTAAGTGTGCGAAAACCAATGTGTATTCGGACGACGCCGGACGACAACGACGACGCCAACGTCATACCAATATACGACCGCAAAATTTTTTTGCGGTCGTATAAAAAGGGGTTCTCCATTTATTATCTGGGAACCACGAAAAGTACCATAACTCAATTTAGGAGTGGTAAAAGTGAAACGATGAAAATCAAAATTAGTATCTAAAAACCACAAGATTTTTGATTTTTTTTTTCAACAATATATTTCCATAGCTCTGTAATGGTAAAAATGAAAATGACAAAGTCAACTTAATCCGTTATTAGTGGATCAAATCATTCCATTATAATTTTAGTAATTTCAAAAAGCAGTTCTCTATTTATCTTCTGGCTAAAAATGTGACAGATGTACAGACTGACAGCTGGATGAACAATAGGATTTTTTCATACCCCTACTCTGTCCAGCAGGTATTTGAAAATCTTTTCATTAGCTTTTACTTGCCTCTCATTATGGCTGAATGGTTGTGCTTAATTTTGCCGTCACACTGACATAAACATATGTAATGCATTATTACAAAATTTCACTCATTCCCCAAATTGTCTTGTAAAGCTAATGAACTATTATGGTAGTTAAATAAAAGATCAAAGTAAACAGGGCTTAAACAAAGTATGATGGGATTAAGATTAATTAGAAACTGTAATACTCCATTAAATGTTTCTGGGTCAAATAAACTCAGACGTAAAATAAAAAGTTACTTGAAAAATTAAGTCAAAGTGACCTTATTTTTGTAGAAAGTTGCTGTACTCCCCCAGATGCATCTTTACATCAAGTTAATGATTTGCATTTTTTACCAGAAGTATTTGAGATCTGGATTCATACATTAAGCTTTAACAAAATGACTGAAGCATGAGATGAAAGTGTGAATGACTTGATTTAGGCAGGAAGCTATTATTCTCTCAAATGCATCATTACATAAAGTTATGTGATTACAGGTCACTCAGATTTGAAAACTGGACTTGTACATAAAACTTAACCAAATTCAATGAAGAATAAAATATAGGCCATATAACCTGGACTTGGATGTAAAACTTAAGTTGTCACTGAAGCATGAAATATAGGTTAAAGTAAATCTATTATAGTGGGTGTTTGTAATCCTCCCATTGATGTTAAGCAGTTGCATCACTGAAGCAAGAAATGTAGGTTAGAGTAAATCTATTTTAGTGGGTGTTTGTAATCCTCACATTGATTTTAAGTAGTTGCATCACTGAAGCATGAAATGTAGGTTAGAGTAAATCTATTTAGTGGGTGTTTGTAATCCTCCCATTGATTTTAAGCAGTTGCATCACTGAAGCAAGAAATGTAGGTTAGAGTAAATCTATTTTGGTGGGTGTATGCAATCCTCCCATTGATTTTAAATAGTTGCATCACTGAAGCATGAAATGTAGGTTAGAGTAAATCTATTTTAGTGGGTGTTTGTAATCCTCCCATTGATTTTAAGCAGTAACATCTCTGAAGCATGAAATATAGGTAAGAGTAAATCTATTTTAGTGGGTGTTTGTAATCCTCCCATTGATTTTAAGCAGTTGCATCAGCAGCATCACTGAAGCAAGAAATGTAGGTCAGAGTAAATCTATTTTAGTGGGTGTTTGTAATCCTCCCATTGATTTTAAGCAGTTGCATCACTGAAGCATAAATGTAGGTTAAAGTAAATCTATTTTAGTTGGTGTTTGTAATCCTCTCATTGATTTTAAGTAGTTGCATCACTGAAGCATAAAATGTAGGTTAGAGTAAATCTACTTTAGTTGGTGTTTGTAATCCTCTCATTGATTTTAAGAAGTTGCATCACTGAAGCATGAAATGTAGATTAGAGTAAATCTATTTTAGTGGGTGTTCGTAATCCTCCAATTGATTTTAAGCAGTTGCATCACTGAAGCATGAAATGTAGGTTAGAGTAAATCTATTTTAGTGGGTGTTTGTAATCCTCCCATTGATTTTAAGCAGTTGCATCATTGAAGCATGCAATGTAGGTTAGAGTAAATCTATTTTAGTGGGTGTTTGTAATCCTCTCATTGATTTTAAGCAGTTGCATCACTGAATCATGAAATGTAGGTTAAAGTAAATCTATTTTAGTGGGTGTTTGTAATCCCCCCATTGATTTTAAGCAGTTGCATTACTGAAGCATGAAATGTAGGTTAGAGTAAATCTATTTTAGTGGGTGTTTGTAATCCTCCCATTGATTTTAAGCAGTTGCATCACTGAAGCATGGAATGTAGGTTAGAGTAAATGTACTTTAGTGGGTGTTTGTAATCCTCCCATTGATTTTAAGCAGTTGCATCACTGAAACATGAAATGTAGGTTAGAGTAAATCTATTTAAGTGGGTGTTTGTAATCCTCTCATTGATTTTAAGTAGTTGCATCACTGAAGCATGAAATGTATGTTAGAGTAAATTTATTTTAGTGGGTGTTTGTAATCCCCCCAATGATTTCAAGCAGTTGCATCACTGAAGCATGAAATGTAGTTTAGAGTACATCTATTTTAGTAGGTGTTTGTAATCCTCCAATTGATTTTAAGCAGTTGCATCACTGAAGCATGAAATGTAGGTTAGAGTAAATCTATTTTAGTGGGTGTTTGTAATCCTCCCATTGATTTTAAGCAGTTGCATCACTGAAGCATGAAATGTAGGTTAGAGTAAAGTTATTTTAGTGGGTGTTTGTTATCCTCCCATTGATTTTAAGCAGTTGCATCGCTGAAACATGAAATGTAGGTTAGAGTAAATCTATTTAAGTGGGTGTTTGTAATCCTCTCATTGATTTTAAGTAGTTGCATCACTGAAGCATGAAATGTAGGTTAGAGTAAATTTATTTTAGTGGGTGTTTGTAATCCCCCAAATGATTTCAAGCAGTTGCATCACTGAAGCATTAAATGTAGGTTAGAGTACATCTATTTTAGTAGGTGTTTGTAATCCTCCAATTGATTTTAAGCAGTTGCATCACTGAAGCATGAAATGTAGGTTAGAGTAAATCTATTTTAGAGGGTGTTTGTAATCCTCCCATTGATTTTAAGCAGTTGCAGGAATTTTTCACACAATTTTTATGTGATTAGTACACAAATTTGCTATGGCCTGTACCATTTTTACACAAAAAGGATCAAGAATGTGTCCATCGTACAAGGATGCCCCACTTGCACTATCTTTTTCTATGTTCAGTGGACCGTGAAATTGGGGTCAAAACTCAAATTTGGCATTAAAATTAGAATGATCATAGCATAGGGTACATGTGTGCTAAGTTTCAAGTTGATTGGATTTCAACTTCATCAAAAACTACCTTGACCAAAAACTTTAACCTGAAGCGGGACAGATGGACAGACAGACAGACAGACAGACAGATGGAAAGACGAACGGAAACACAGACCACAAAAATTTAATGCCCCTAGGTGGGGCATAAAAATCTACTGTGACCGCTGTTAAGCTTCAATGTGATTGTTATAAAAAGGTTTTGAATTGTACCACATTTAATGTATATCCAATCTACAGTTTATGTTTATACTATTATTGACATTACAAAAGTGGCCCATAACAGGGAATTCTTCTACTTACATAAAGCCATATGTTGATGAAATAAAACTCCATGATCCTTCAAGAAATGCTGAGATACCTATAAGAGCTGCTACCATGACAACACATAAACCCACTGTTCTGCAGTAACTGAATATGGCTGTGCTGTCTGTGTATGACATTTCAGTGTCTGATATCCTATGCTAAAATAAACAAAAACAATAAAATATTATTCTACATTTATTATTCAGCTTAGGTATCACCATACAAAATTTAAATTAATAGGCCTTAACATAGGAACATAAATCCTAATTTGGAAGCCCAAGTTACAAAGCTTTGCATTGTTAATTCACTAAATTATTTTATGTCAAACTTTAAACAAGTTAGATATAAAGATTGACTTCAACTATTTATTACATTCACATGAGTATCATGACTATGGTTAGGTGTGGCTAGGTTAAAGATTCTCCTTTTGTTTTTAATGCATAAAAATTAAATTTTATTTCATATAAAATAGTGATATACAATATTCTAAAACCACAATCTATCTATACGTTTCTTTATTCAAACGGAATAATAACTTCTGATATAGATTACCTTTCTGAACTTAGAACTCTGCATGAAGAAAATGGCTGCTGGTACACAGAGTGTGATTGGATAAATTGACAAGTAAGCTGACATGGCAATAAACAGATAACAGAGATATTCATTTTCTGGAATAAAAATTGAAATAGAAATGTATTCATCCATGTGATGTAACAAAACTATTTTCTATATATTTATTCTTGCTTAAAGTTTTCTATGCCAATGGTGTGAATAATGTCTCCATGCTAATAGCTGGTAGCTAACTGTTGGGCAAGATACTATGTCACACATGGGGATACATTTCCATTTTTTCATTGTAAAACTGCTTGCCTTAAGGTTAGTTGACAGAGTTTTATACACTCCTCCGAAAAACTGATAAGTGCACTGTACTCCTATCTACTTGTACATATTAATTGCCATCATTCGGTAATTTAAAAGGCTGATAATTTTGCAAACATCTCTGTAGAGTTTGAAAACTGTACAAGGATGCGGTTTTCTCTTTACCATAAACATCACCATATAGCTATATTTCATGCATAAAGGCACTGAATACATGTAAGTCTTTGAACAATATCATAAAACAAAACCCAGACTGTATAATGCTTTCATGCAACGTGAAATGCTCTTTGTGATGTGAAGATCATAAAAACCATAAAATGATACAGTTTACACTTAAATTATTTATTGAAAGCCAGTGTTGCAAAAATACATTAGAAGCTATATGACTAAAAAAGAGCTCAATCGAAAAGCCAAATTCATCTAAACTCAACTTTGCCTAAATATTCTTATGTCAATTTTTTTTAACATTTCATATATGTCTGTAATATTTAACATGCAAGTTGTTACTGTCATGATATCTGATTTAAGTATGAAACTAAACACTCGTCAGAGGTTGTCTTTTGACAAATTTTAATGTGTTTTGCTATTTGGCAAATTTGGTATTGATTGCAGATCTTTGATTGTTTCTATTTGATTTATTCCAGACTTTACAGACTCAGGTAGATTTAGAGCATGCCATTTTGTATAGACATCTGTCTATTGTTGAACACTGTATGTTGCCCTCTATTTTTGTCATCTGGTTTTTAGAGGACGTCTTAAGAAATAAATTACTGCGGCCTATGTTAATCAAAGCCTTTAAGGCTGTAAAAGCAATTGCTGCCATGTTAATGTTTTGGGGACTTTTTCATCCACATATATATAAGAATTAAACCTGACAGGAGTGTTGTCTAGTGAGAAGTAAGAAGGTTTTAACTTTATATCAATGAAAGACTTTAGCAGAAAGTCATTTTTGATAAGTTTTATATTTCACAAGGAGACAACACGTTTACCAGGCTAAAGTTGGGGTCAAATTTACATGTGCTGAAACATATAACTCAAAAAGAAATTATCCCCTGGTAGTGTTTGTAACTGGGCAATAATTTCCTTTATTGATTTAATTTTAACAATTATCATAATTAATTTAAATTTAACCATTCAATTAAAACATTTCAACTTTCCAGACTCAAATGTTGAAAAACGGGAAAGAAATAAAATATCTTACAAGATCTTACAAGACATAAACATGTAAAAAATAAATATATATTTCAGCTTACTAAAAATATTTTCATAATGTTACTTTGTCTTCATTTCTTAAAACTAAGTCCCAAACATTATTGCTCAGTTGATATGTGTCATCCTCATGCGGTACGAGATAACTATAATTCTCATGCAATACCGAAAAGGGGGGTCATCACAGACAAACATGACATTAAATCGTCATTATACGAACAAGAACAAACAGCTCTTCGTTGCCTTGATATTTATCAATTTTCAGGAAACATTGCGAAAAATGATCTTCAATATTTCGAAAACATGTGAAATAAAATTGCAAACACGGTGGACCATCGAGTATCAACACACGTAGTAGACTCGTCCACTGGAAAGACGAGGATAATGGTTTCATCATTTGTCATGCATACCAAGTTTTGATTATGATATCCAAAAGGACGTACTTTTTTTCAATCTATGAAACTAGAAAATTCCAAATTGTAAATATCTCTTCATCTGGACTTGGCATCTATCACGTTTTGACAGGTCCATTTCAATAGTAAGGTGATCGATAAATCTTACAGAGTTATGACAAAAAAGGAAAACGAACTTATTGTTATGTGTTTTTAACAAGGGTTTCGTTCCGCTAAATTATTTGCGCAAACAAATCAACAAAATTGGTCAGTTAAGTTTGTCTATTTTTATTTTACAGGTAATCATTTGACACTACGTATAACCTGTGTAGTGATTTTGATTTTACGATAAATTTATGAATGAACGATAATTTTATGAATGAACAAGAGCACCTGGCCTCTTTCTTGGAGAAACACCAATTAAACATATAAAACCGTATTTAATAAGAGATGATTCAGTAAAATTTTCAATACTAAATCAACAACTGAAATGATTCGATATTTTGTTGAAACATCGTTCGAAAGGAGAACGGAATCGCAGGTATAAAAATGCACCTTTTTTCACTCGGACTTCTATGTTTTTTGATAGTCAAACGGTTGTCCCCCTAAATACAAAAATACATCTACAAGAACATATGCTGAAACCTCTTAAATCCACTAACGTTTTTTTCAAAAGTTTCAAGCTATGTATTGCATTTGAAAACATACATAGGTGTTTAAGAATGACAGATCAGGAGCCTGTTTAACAAAATACTATGGCTTGATCTGGGCGGAGTCTCTGATTTGCGTCACAAAGATGGCCATACGCGATGGCATAAAAGCAATTGCATTAAAAACTAAGTAATAAACAATAGCTTACATAGGACTTTAAAACCAAGTGATCTCTATTTCTACCTTAATTTATTTTTTAAACCTGTCTGTATATATAAATTGATAGTTTGTTGAACAATGTCATTCAATTTGATGGATAAAAAACAACAAACTTGGCGCAATAGTAGTAAATTTCAATAAATGTTATAGTGCTATTTCTAATCACATTTGACATATTACCTACCTTTAAGCATGAAATAGAAGACGAATAAGATTGACAGATTATTGAAAATGGCTGTTGATTTGGCTAAACAAGCAGCTATACTGTATGGATTCAATGAAAATCTGAAAACATAAAGGAACATATCTACTTACCATACAACATAAACAGAAGTTTTTTTTCTCAGAATATATCAAAGTTTCTTTCATATTTCAAAAAGTACAGAGCAGAATATTGTGATAAGTTGATACATTGACAGCAATAAAAGTACTGTTCCTTTGCTTTTTATGTGTTTTTTTGCTGTGCATATACTGATTTTGTGTCATGGATGGATACTCCATATCCTTTTTTTTCTATTATAGTCAGAGTAGTATGTTTTATATTTTATAAGGTAAAGTGCCATGTATTTGTAATTCTAAACATCTATCTGTTCATAACTTAATACATAGGTATACATGTGTCACCATTAGGATTTTTTTAAGATTCACTTAAATCAATCACTGGCGTATGAATGTGGCATATAAAGTGTGGACAGACAGACAACCAAACATACCAACATATATATATATATCTAAATGAATCGGCCAATGAACTGAAACAAGGCTCTTTATACATCCCTGCTACAGAAAGCGAGATGGACATTTTTATTATGAAACTAGTAACAGTTTTTAATTTGGATATTTGTTTTGACACTTATGATTTTACTTTTAATTTAGACAAGAACAATCAAAACCCAATTAACTGAAAACACTATTGTTGGTTCATTTCTGCCTACTTTTTCAAACTGGTTATGTCACAATGCCCATTTGTAATCAGTCCTTTCCTAACCGGCATGTGTTATTGTGTTGTTATTTTTAAAATTATCTACAGAGTAGAACAAAAGTTATTGCATCATAACCACTATGTTTACAAACTGATAAAGATGCAATCAATAATATTATATAGTGGAATCATTTATTACATTTGTGTGGATATTTGATTTTTGTGTTTTTGCCATATTCTGCATACAAGCCTATAGAAAATTTGTACTGCATTGTACATGTACATTTAAATTTGTTGATATCCCACAACTGATAATAAATCCACAGTAATGTCATTATGTAAATACAATACTTTTTGGCAAAAATTAACTTACGCTACAATTACATAAAATTGTATTATCCTCAAGTCTTCTGTTTTGATTATCAATTTGTCACTATCTGTAGCATATCTTTTTACTTCTTTTGCTTGCTTCTTCAGCTATAAAAAATAGGCTCAATAACTACATGAACACCAAAGTTTTAATGATGATTTCAAAAAGTTATCTCACACTTTTTATGCTTATTTTTATCTATCAAAATATTTCCTTTGTGGCAATAATAGTACATTTCATTGATTTTAAAGCCAGCTAATTTAAATACACATTTCATATCATAGGTGACACTGTTTGTGGTATAATCTTTGGTCCTATATTTTTCTTTTAATATTTTCTTATCTGACTATATGCATTCAATCATAACTATTACTGCATTATATTCTGAATTCCCTATACATGACATGCCATAGTATACCCTTATGCTACTTACCAGATATCCACCATACAGATTAGCTATTTTCACCATCAAAATTAAACATAAAGCATCAAGTCCCTGTAAAACATGTCAAAAATAATTCTCATTTCAAATCTTGTTTCATAAAAATGTGTAAAAACGGTGTATAATGTATATATATATCAATATAAAAATAAAAAGATGGGGTATGATTGCCAATGAGACAACTATCCACCAGAGTTCAAATGATGTGTATATAAGAAATAATAGGTCACTGTACGACCTATGACAATGAGAAAGTGGTATTAACCCTATCTGACAACTGGTTTAATTAAAAAAAACATTTTTCTTTAATTAAAAACATGTTTATCTTTGTTGCTCTTTTGAAAGATTGGTAGGTTACCTAAATTTTTTATCATACCAACTTTGCCCTTGTGATACTGTGGATTCATTATTTTAGTGGGTACCAATTTTCATGGATTCAGGAAAAATTGTATTTTTGTAGATATTTAATTTTCTGGACTTTGCCAAAGTTAGTTTACTTGCCTGTAGAAAATTTGTAATACATATAATATATTTAAATTTGTGGTTCACATATACCAATAAAATTCACGAAATTGGTATGAAAAATAATGAATCCAAGGCAGTCATAATTATCTCCCCTCCACCTGGATGATGATCAGCCAATTTTCAGCTCCTACTTATTGATATAATGTTGTTAACTTTTCTCATCCTGAATATGCATAAAATCAATATCGTTGAGCAACCAACCAATAGCAACTTGTTTTTATATACTTTATATACATTGCTGTACAGTAAGACAGTTTTGGCTGTTCTATTCAGAACCTCCTCAGTGGTCTTGTGGTAGCTTGTTCCCTTGATTGCGGGAAGTTGTGGGTTCAAACCACTGCCATGTCAAACCAAAGACTTTAAAACTGGTATTTTCTGCTTCTTTGCTTAGCATGTGGCATTAAAAAGTTAGAGCAAAGACTGATTGGCTCTGAGTCAGAATAATGTGTCTGGATAGGGTGACATATCTTCTTGCAGACTGTTATCTTGTGAACTAGCACGTTAAAAATCCAGCTCAGCATTTTAGCGGTCTAGATCAAAGAAGGGTTAGTATTCATATTTCATTAACATGTTCTCGTCCTGAATATGCGTTTAATTTGCCTATGGACATTAAGCAGCCATTCATTATCATCATCTGTTCTATTCAGCCCTTTAGGTAGTTTTGCTCCCAAACATTTTATATACATGTACATTTAGTTTTCCAAATTTTGGGTTAGGAACCTTAAGTGGTTGTCTTATGTTACCTTTTTTATATTTGTAAAGTACAAAATGTATTTTCCTTTGGCAATCCTCAATTACATTTTAATACTGTAAATTCAGAAATTATTGCAAGGTTTTTATTAATGCGAATTTTGTGATTGGGTGAGTATCGCAATAATAAGAACTTGCATTCTGATATCCAATACAGCTAACTGTATGCAGATCTTCCTGAAATCACAATAGTTAATATCTAATTTTTGTCCTTTCTTCAAAAATCGTTATGATAAATGCACACAATTATTTCTGAATTTACAGTATCACAATAAAACTGATAATAGTAAAAACAAATAATTAAACTGATAATAGTAAAGACAAATAATTAAACTGATAATAGTAAGACAAAATAATATAAAAAGACAACTTTTCAATGTTGACATTCTTTTCTTATTATTGTTGGCATGGCAAGTTTCCATTAGAGACACCCCCCCCCCCGCCCCCCATTTACCCATGTTTTTTTTTAATTAATGAACCACATGAGAAAACATTTGCAACTTTTTCCACTAAAGGTCAAATTAAAGGTTGCATGAATACGGATTCAAATGAGTTGAATTATTGACTTGCAAGCCAATTGAACATTAAAGATGTTTTTTTTACCTTATTTTGAGGATATTAAACCAAACTGACTGCTAATAGCAAAATATTATTTCTATATATATTCTGCTTTTATAAATGTTTGAAACAAAAAAAATCATATTTTTACTTTTCGCCTACATGTAATATACTTACAACAAACATCAGTAAGATTGTGTTGTCAGAAAATGCAGTCATAAAACCCAATATTCTTAGAACCAGAGGAGTCTGTAATGTAAATAAATATATATATATATCTTAGTTTATAAACAATACCTAGCAGTAATAGTAAATAACACATTATTTATAAAAATATTTCTCAGGCAATATATTGTGAGGTTTCAATGTAAATATGTTTTGTCATCTAAAACATTATCATATGCATATGCTTTCCTCATTTAGATCTGTAATTTTCCTAAGTTACAAATATAACAGAATTTCTCTACAGTTTCCTACATTTGTTGAATACGATATATTTTATGTACTTGATTTCACAGCTCAGTGCAATACATAGAATCATGAAATCCTTTGTTTTTTGTTTGTGTTTCTTTCCATCAGCTCCTATGAATGATGGCAATACTGTAAATTCAGAAATTATTGCGATGTTTTTATTATTGCGAAAAATGCGACAGGGTTATAAACGCAATAATTTAAACTCGCATTTTGAAATATTTTATATGAATTAAACAGGATTTTTCTCAATATCGCAAAAATTAGAATCGCATTTTAGTCTAAAATGAATTTACAGTAATCAATTTACTTTTAATTATGTAAAAATAACATTCCATCTCTTTTTTTTTAACAAAACTAATAGAACACATCATTATAAATATATTTTACCTCATGAAATAAATCGCCAGCATACGGTGATATCATATGCTCCTTTAAAGCAATACCTTCCATTGCTGTGAATATAAATTAAATTTATTAGCCTATTTTCTTGTTCAAAATCCTGAGGCTTATTTTGAAACTCAACATTCATAGGATTTCTCACACAATTGATTTTACCACAAAGGTGATGGCGACTATTTTTGGGTTTCAAGTATAATGAGATCAACCAGTTGATATTTTAGAACAATGTTTTAACCCAATTATGTGATACACTCTCCATCAGAAGTTTGGAACCAATGATTGAAAACATGTACATCATTGTCCTTAAATGGTGTGTGTGTTCACCTACATGTACATAATACACATGTTCATCTATGGAAAATTAATGTTGTTTTTTTAAATACATGTAAAATTATTTATTCTAAAAATCTTGTAAAAAACTAATTTGTTTAAGAAAGGATGCAAAATTAAATAAAGTCTCCGCAGGGCGCAGCTTGATACGACCGCAGAGGTCGAACCCTGAACAGTTGGGGCAAGTATGGACACAACATTCAAGCTTGATACAGCTTTGCATTTGGATTGTGATTAAATATTTGACACAGCATAGGTTTCTGTCACAGAATGAATGTGGTCTAAGAACTTAAAAATTTTAAATTGGACATTCACCTATTATGGTCCAATATCCAAAATCTAAATACATGGTTAGATTCAGCATATCAAAGAACCCCAATAATTCAATTTTTGATGAAATCAAACAAAAGTTTAATTTTGGACCCTTTGACCTCAATGTGGACAAAGTTGATAACGGGGCCCAAAAATCAAAAATCTAAATACATGGTTAGATTCAGTATATCAAAGAACACCATATATTCAATTTTTGTTGAAATCAAACAAAGTTTAATTTTGGACCCCGATTTGGACCAACTTGAAAACTGGGCCCATAATCAAAAATCTAAATACATGTTTAGATTCAGCATATCAAAGAACCCTAAGAATTCAATTTTTGTTAAAATCAAACTAAGTTTTATTTTGGACCCTTTGGACCTTAATGTAGACCAATTTGAAAACGGAACCAAAAATTAAGAATCTAAATAGACGGTTAGATTCGGCATATCAAAAACCCCAATAATTCAATTTTTGATGAAATCAAACAAAGTTTAATTTTGGACCCTTTGGACCTCAATGTGGACCAATTTAAAAACGGGGCCCAAAATCCAAAAACTAAATACATGGTTAGATTCAGCATATTAAAGAACCCCAAGAATTCAAGAATAAAACCCCATTGAAATTGGTCAAGAAATAAGCAATTTTTTATACGAAGTATCTTCTTTTGCACAATATTGTGCAATTAAATATTTCTTGCTATTGCACAATACTGTACAATTGACAATTTCTTGATATTGCGCAATATTGTGCTATTGGATATTTCTTGCTATTGCGCAATACTGTGCAATTGAAGATTTCTTGCTATTGCGCAATACTGTGCAATTGAAGATTTCTCGCTATTGTGCAATACTGTGCAATTGAAAATTTCTTGCTATTGCACAATACATACTATATAATAATTTACACATCCTGTTTGGTGTGTATCTCCTACCATATCATTATTATTTGCTTTTAAATATAAATCAGAAATAACCAACTTAAAATGGAAAATTTTAAAAGAAAAAAAAATGAAAAAAAGAAAAAAAAGGAAAAAAAAAAAAATTCCCCCCCCCCCAAATTTTTTTAACCCCCTTATGATTCATCACCCCCAAACTCAATCCCAGCCTTCCCTTTGTGGTATGGTACCTTGCAGTACAATTTCAGAGAGATCCATACACTTGAACACAAGTTATTGTCTGGAAACTAGAAAAATGTGTTTTTTGGCCCCTTTTTGGCCCCAAATTCCTAAACATTTAGGGCAATTACCCCCAAACTCAAACCCAGCTTTCCCTTTGAGATATGGAACCTTGTAGTACAATTTCAGAAAGATCCATACACTTACACACAAGTTATTGTCCTGAAACTAGAAAAATGCTTGTTTTTTGCCCCTTTTTTGCCCCTAATTCCTAAAATATTGAGGCAATTACTCCCATCATCAATCCCAGCCTTCCCTTTGTGGTATGGTACATTGCAGTACAATTTCAGAGAGATCCATACACTTGAACACAAGTTATTGTCTGGAAACTAGAAAAATGCTTATTTTTGGCCCCTTTTTGGCCCCCAATTCCTAAATGTTTTGGCAATTACCCCCAAACTCAATTCCAGCTTTCCCTTTGAGATATGGAACCTTGTAGTACAATTTCAGAAAGATCAATACACTTACACACAAGTTATTGTCATGAAACTAGAAAAATGCTTGTTTTTTGCCCCTTTTTTGGCCCATAATTCCTAAAATTTTGAGGCAATTACCCCTAAAATCAATCCCAGCATTCCTTTTGTGATATGGAACCTTGTGGTACAATATCAGAGAGATCCATACACTAACACACAAGTTATGTCTGGAAGTTACCAAAATGCTTATTTTTGGCCCCTTTTTGGCCCCTAATTCCTTTACTGTTGGTACCATAACCCCCAAAATCAATCCCAACCTTCCTTTTGTGGTATTGAACCTTGAGGTAAAATTTCATAGAGATCCATTCACTTAAACTAAAGTTAGAGTGCGAAAACCAATGTGTCTTTGGACGACGCCGGACGATGACGACAACGACAACGTCATACCAATATACGACCACAAAATTTTTTTTGCGGTCGTATAAAAACTGAAAGCTCTGATGGGGGAAAAAGATACATAAAAGGATAACTTGAATAACAATGAAAGCAGACGACACCAATCCAGCCTACTCTGTGCCATTGTTGCTTTCGACATAGCTATTTCTTCCAAAAATAATATACTTACATGTGTCTCCACCAAAACAGATAAAACTAAATATAAAAATCTCTGAAAATTGTTCATTCAAATAAAATTTACTATAACTTTATATATTACATCTCATCATGTTTAACTTTATTGAAGCAAATCTACCAGGAATTGATTAGGATTCACTTGAATGTTTTTCTGACATTGAAACTGATTATTGTAAGAGGGGATTCATTTCAGGGACTGAATCTAGACTCTAATCCCTAAAGGAAGTTGCTGGTTCCCTAGGACTGATGAAATTCCGCTTCTATAAATGAAGTTCATATGCAGCAGCATTAAACTAGAAATTAGAAAAAAGTCCAGATCAAAAGATTTCAAAGTGTTGGTTTTCTACTTGTGAGCTGGATATAAAGGTATTACTTCCAAAGTACTTGTAAAATTGAATTCATTAATGTTTTCAATGAACAGTTAAAAAAGCAAAAGCAGCCACCTGGGGAAACAATAGTTTACATCTCAGTGTTAGTGATCTGATCATCCTATTTTCTTAGTTCTGCTTAGACTTGGTAAGCAGTATTCAAAGTTATACACTATAGCTATTGTTAGATAACATGCAACTTCAAATGTTTGCCTGGTTTAGATAATGAAACTAAAAAATAATACTACAACTTATTTGATGAAGGCCCTAGATGCAAGTAAACATTGCCGCCATTTTTATGAATTCCAATTGTACTTCAATAATGTCAACTCGGCCCGGAGACACTTGGCCACTCTATAAACAAGAGAAATAAAATTATCAACAAAGAGAGTAGCATCTGCAAATTGGCTCCAAATGTATGATAATGATGGTCTCTTTTTACATCGTTGGAGCTGTCTATTTTAGCAGTAAAAGTTTGATTTTTATAAAAAGGATTGAGTATAGTAGTCAGACCAACTTGTAACTGTACTTTCAAATTTAATCAACCTTGCCCTCTACCAAATCTACTTTAAAAACATCCAGTTACAGTAAATTATACTAAATAGAAAATTTCGAATTACATAAGGTTAAAGATAAGTAAGATTGAATATTTAAATGAAGGTAAATAAAAGAACAGAGTTCCAATGTCCACCACATTGCATATATTTTATCTAACCAAAGTACAAGGGCAAAACTAAAAAATGCACTTTTTTTTTGTTCTTTAGAACTTTTTATTAATATCTTAGAGAAATAAAAGGCTTTAGAGCAAATGCAATGTGATTCCCATTATAATTAATATTTCCAAGGGGCATAACTTGTTAAAGATATTTGATCAAAACTTACTTTAGAAGGTGTCAAAGACATTGCTGATAAAAACCTATGATATAAGTTTCATAAAATTCTAGCAAGAATTGAACACATAAGAGTGCTAACAGTGCAATTTTCCATATAATCAATATTTCCAAGGGGCATATTTCAAAAATAATTGATTGGCACTGATTTTTGAACTCGTCAAAGACATTGATGATATAGACCTATAATATAAATTTCATAAAAATCTGGCAAGAATTGTACACATTAGAGCGCTCATAAGGCAATTTTCCATATAATTTAAAATATTTCCAAGGGGCATAACTCTTTTAAAAATTATTGATCAGAACTGATTTTGAATTGGTCCAAGACGTTGCTAATATAAGCCTATGATATGAGTTTCATAAAAATCTGGCAAGAATTGTACAAATGAGAGAACAAAGATGCAATTTTCCATACAATTAATGTTTCCAAGGGCATAACTCTTTTAAAAATAATTGATCGGCACTGATTTTCCAATTCGTCCAAGACATTGCTGATATAAAGCTATGATATAAGTTTCATAACAAGAGTGGACACGCTGAAATGTCTCGCCTTCTTTACTAACCATTGATATTATGTTGATAGTCCTAAATGAAAGCTTTACTACAACTATTACATAAACTTAACATGATCCAAGAAAATGAAGTCAAGGTCATATAAACCAAACAAGAAATACATGTACACCTTACAATCATTCAATACACTAAATATAGTTGACCTATTGCTTATAGTTTCTAAGAAACAGACTTAACCAAGAAAACTAAACATTGACCAATGAATCGTGAAAATGAGGTCAAAGTCAGATGAACCATGCCAGGCAGACATGAACAGCTTACAATCCTTCCATACAACAAATATAGCTGACCTATTGCTTATAGTTTAAGAAAAACAGACTGAAACACATAAACTTAACACTGAGCAATGAACTGTGAAAATGAGGTCAAGGTCAAATAAAACCTGCGAGACTGACATGTACATCATAGAATATTTCCATACACCAAATATAGTTGACTTATTGCATAATAGTATAAGAAAAAAGACCAAAACTCAAAAACTTAACTTTGACCACTGAACCATGAAAATGAGGTCAAAGTCAGATGACACCTGCCAGTTGGACATGTACACCTTACAATCATTCCATACACCAAATATAGTAGACCTATTGGATAAAGTATAAGAAAAACTGACCAAAACACAAAAACTTAACTATAACCACTGAACCATGAAAATGAGGTCAAGGTCAGATGACACCTGCCAGTTGGACATGTACACCTTACAATCATTCCATACACCAAATATAATAGACCTATTGCATACAGTATAAGAAAAACAGACCAAAACACAAAAACTTAACTATTACCACTGAACCATGAAAATGAGGTCAAGGTCAGATGACACCTGCCAGTTGGACATGTACACCTTACAATCATTCCATACACCAAATATAATAGACCTATTGCATACAGTATAAGAAAAACAGACCAAAACACAAAAACTTCACTATAACCACTGAACCATGAAAATGAGGTCAAGGTCAGATGACACCTGCCAGTTGGACATGTACACCTTACAGTCCTTCCATACACCAAATATACTAGACCTATTGCTTATAGTATCTGAGATATGGACTTGACCACCAAAACTTAACCTTGTTCACTGATCCATGAAATGAGGACGAGGTCAAGTGAAAACTGTCTGACAGACATGAGGACCTTGCAAGGTACGCACATACTAAATATAGTTATCCTATAACTTATAATAAGAGAGAATTTAACATTACAAATAATCTGAACTTTTTTTTCAAGTAGTCACTGAACCATGAAAATGAGGTCAAGGAAATTGGACATGTGACTGACGGAAACTTCGTAACATGAGGCATCCATATACAAAGTATGAAGTATCCAGGTCTTCCACCTTCTAAAATATAAAGCTTTTAAGAAGTTAGCTAACACTGCGCCGCCGCCGCCGCCGGATCGCTATCCCTATGTCGAGCTTTCTGCGACAAAAGTCGCAGGCTCGACAAAAATCTGGCAAGAATTGTACACGTGAGAGTGCTAACAAGATGGGACAGACAGTTGCCTGGTTGTTTTTTTAGCCTTACTGTACATTTGTTTGTCTGTTTCATAAAATGATGCAGACGCTATTTTACAAACTTGCAACAGATGATCATGTGTACAAATCGGTGTCGAAATGAGGCATTGAAGTTATAAAGTTGTAAAGCACAGAAAGGGATATGGTAACACTCTTGGAAATGGTTCAATAATTTTAGAAGCAGCTAGCAGTATAGATTTCAAAAGACTTTAAAGTCTTCTCCCCCAAAAAAATAGTTTGTTTCCATTAAAAATGAGAAAAAAAATAATTAAACATACAAGAAAAAAAACTATGATTTCCTTCCAAACAATAAGCATGACAACTTAGTCTATGTCTGTCATTTTGTAAAAGGAGGAATCAAAGTCCTGTCAATATAAACTTCTAGGAACAATTTGTTTGCTTATATAATTATCGCCAATCTCACTTTAAATAAAAAAAATTAACATATAATGTATTTGAACAAAATACATTTTGTATTTCTAATAATGAAAAAGTTAAGAAAGATAATATATGAAGAAATATATTCAATGTGAATCTGGGGACAAAAATCTTGCTGAATCGGGAATTGTTTTTTAAAAGTTTTATCCAATAGTTTTATTGTGTAATATTACTGTTTTCCCACAGACATTTGTCTCTGAAAAAAATACCTATAATCCTTTATACCTTTGTTTATATTACACAAGGTACCCAACTCCCATTTTTGAGAAGACACTTGTCAGGAACTTCTGTTATATTTAAATTCATCAGTTGTCAATCCCACTGATACTTGTTAATATATATATATTGTGCTGTATTTAGACCCCTCTACCAAGATATTTGTTTTGCATGCAAACATTTAAAAATTGAGGTTTTTATCCAACGCAATCATAGGTTTGAATGTTGTTTTCAATTTAGACTTGTTTATATATATATATATATATATCTACTCTAACATCGTTAGGTTGATTTTCTAGGCACCTTATATATATATATATTGTAAATCTACATTAAATTATCTACAAAATGGGGATCAACTGAAAATACAGAACAATTAGTTCCCAGTAGCACTTAATTTTAGACGATTATTTTGTTAAATCAAATAGACTCATTGACACATAGACAATCATGTTAATATTTTATTATTGCATCTACAATCACTTAAATCTTTTATTATTACATCTACAATCACTTAAATCTGTTATTATAACATAGATAACGTCTGTTTTATGATTAAGATTATGCATTAATACTGTGTCTTCCAGCGCCGTAGGCTGTGTCTTTGGTTAAAGTTAGGTTAGAATTAGTATTATTAGTATGATTTCTTATTTTTCATTAACAATTAAACTTGCATGATGTGTCAATGTGTTGGCCCCAGACCACAATTAATGATCCTGCTTTTCGTTGTCCACGAATATAGTTCCTTTTCATTAAAGTGTATTTTTTATTTATTTTTTTTCTTTCCCTTTCTCATACATTTCTTACTTTTTATTGGGTGGAAATGAAAGAAGAGAGCTGAAATAAAATTTTTGGATGTGTTATTTTGACTGATTTTGATATGGAAAGAGTGATTAGGCCAAGTGCAAAAAGGTAATATTTACAGTTTTTGGAACATCTCTTGACGTGTCTATAGGGGTATGGATGTGTATTGGCTAAATTTGTAAGATGTACACAAGCAATTTTTCTGAAAGTTGGATATATATTTGGACTTGTACTGTACATTACACACACAAAAGATTTGACAAAAAAAGCAGGTAAATTTTTTTTAATGCGACAAAATGTTATAAAGAACTAATGGGGGAATTAATTGTGGTCTTTGGCCTGTTATCTACCACAATGTCATTGGACAGTCTAGTGCCATGGGCTGTGTCTTTGGTTAGAGTGATCGTAGGGATATTATTAATAGTATTTCTTATTTTTTATTAAAATTTTAAATTTGTATCCTGTGTCAATGTGCCGTATAGCAACGTAGGCTGTGTCAATGTGCAGGCTAGCGCCATAGGCTGTGTCAATGTGCAGGCTAGCGCCATAGGCTGTGTCAATGTGCAGGCTAGCGCCATAGGCTGTGTCAATGTGCCGTATAGCGCCATAGGCTGTGTCAATGTGCAGGCTAGCGCCATAGGCTGTGTCAATGTGTAGGCTAGCGCCATAGGCTGTGTCAATGTGCCGTATAGCGCCATAGGCTGTGTCAATGTGCAGGCTAGTGCCATAGGCTGTGTCAATGCATCTATTTATCTTTGTTTCATTGTGTTACTTTGTCTGTGTCATTGTGTCAATGTGTCTATAAGTTGTTTTGTCCGACTAAAGACTCTATCAAGGTATGTATCCTCTTATTATCAGCTTACAACTGTCTTTTATTTCACAATGTATAGTTACATCTATATTTGAATTTGAATGTTAAAATTTTACTTCATACTTGGTGAATGTATTTAAAATGTAAATCGCAATGGAACTATTTATTCCAATACTCCAGTTGAGGCCGAAATGGTGTATAACCAGCCTATTTTTTGATGTGGGAATAATTTGTTGCAGGCTTTCAATAAGTTCTAAGTAGGTTAATCGTAAATTATTTCGCCTTCTCACAGCCAAATGGCAATGTTGACATGGTAGTGAGACACCTGTTTCATGGGAGTGGAAGAACTGTTAACATTTAAATTTCATTAAATGTTTGGACTAGCTTTAGAGTGAAACTGAAAGAGAGTTGCGAGGGAAAACAAATATGGAGCTATGCATCCCTCAAGTCTTTTCTGCATTACCTCGCTCCCATGATGTTAATGGTGTGGAAACCTCTGGTTGCAATGAAATCCAATTAGGGAGAGAGGTCCGGAATAAAGCAAGTCGAATGACAATGCCACTAACTGTACAAAAGATGAGTGGATAGCTGGACATTTTTTTCGAGATTTCGATTTTTCTTAGTGCAGTGTAGCAATTGTTTTTGGTTGATGAAATTTTTTTTCGTGTAACATAAAACGTCTAATTGATCATGATGGGGTTACACTAATGTCCTGACAATGTCCTGACAATGTCCTGACAAAGTCCTGACGGATATGAAAATGCTAATTACGTTTTCAGTATTTGAAGGATTTACTTTAAATTTGGAACCAAGCAAGATGACAACATTAATTTAATAAATATAAGAAAAAAAATTAAAAAAAATATTTTTAATAGTTAGAAAACTTGACCTGACCAACTTCGACTTTGAAATCACTAATGTCCTGACCGATATGAAACGGCTAAATACTTTTTTATTATTCACAGGATAGACTTCAAATTCAATATCAAGGAAGATTAAAACATTTAATACAAAAATATAAGAAAAAAATTAAAAAAAAAAAATTTTTAGAGTTAGAAAACTTGACCTGACCAATACGATTTTGCCGCGACTAATGTCCGGACCGATATAAAACTGCTAATTTCTTTTTTATCTTTGGAAGGATTGACTTCAAATTTAGTAGCAAGGAAGATTTCGACATTTAACAAAGAAATAAAAAAGAAATGAAAAGAAAACAAATATTCAAAAGACCAAAAAACCTGACCTGACCAACATAGGCTATTCACCAAAAAAGACATGTTCGTTTAAAAAATAGAAAGACTATGTATATTTCTTAAATAAATGTCTTTAAGTTTGATAAATATCAATATTTTATTAAATATTTAAATGACAAAAAGAAAAAAAAGTGAACAAATATTGCAAGGGTAAAAAAAATATTGACCTGACATTGTCGAACTTGTCCTGATCAATTTTCTAACTGAAAGAAAATGTTAACCTCTTACCTTAAATTATTGAAATTAAAAATATCCGATCACAATGATATTACAACATTGAACGCAGAAAGATACTGTTGAAATGAAACGAAAGAGAAATATTAGAACCAGTTGCTGAATGTGAGTATTGTTTATGCAGGTTAACTTTCTGTTATTGCTCTAATTGTTAATCTGATTAGGGGCTTGTTATGATTAGATCAATCACCTACTTGTTAATCCAATTAATTAATTATGAACGTGAACTGTGACCAGCTATTATTAAGACTGATAATTTATGATAAACAATATATTGGTATTTATGGGCTTCTACAGGCTTTGGTGATTGCTTTTCAAAAGTTAACATTAGTTACAGTTATAAATATAATACATATTTCGAGTCTCTTTCAAAAGTTTTCATAGTGCTCTAATACATACAACCTTAGTGCTTTTTATTCGAATTGATATATTGCTTTAGTGCTATTTGTCATAATTAATTAATTGGATTAACAAGTAGGTGATTGATCTAATCATAACAAGCCCCTAATCAGATTAACAATTAGAGCAATAACAGAAAGTTAACCTGCATAAACAATACTCACATTCAGCAACTGGTTCTAATATTTCTCTTTCGTTTCATTTCAACAGTATCTTTCTGCGTTCAATGTTGTAATATCATTGTGATCGGATATTTTTAATTTCAATAATTTAAGGTAAGAGGTTAACATTTTCTTTCAGTTAGAAAATTGATCAGGACAAGTTCGACAATGTCAGGTCAATATTTTTTTACCCTTGCAATATTTGTTCACATATTTTTCTTTTTGTCATTTAAATATTTTATAAAATATTGATATTTATCAAACTTAAAGACATTTATTTAAGAAATATACATAGTCTTTCTATTTTTTAAACGAACATGTCTTTTTTGGTGAATAGCCTATGTTGGTCAGGTCAAGTTTTTTGGTCTTTTGAATATTTGTTTTCTTTTCATTTCTTTTTTATTTCTTTGTTAAATGTCGAAATCTTCCTTGCTACTAAATTTGAAGTCAATCCTTCCAAAGATAAAAAAGAAATTAGCAGTTTTATATCGGTCCGGACATTAGTCGCGGCAAAATCGTATTGGTCAGGTCAAGTTTTCTATCTCTAAAAATTATTTTTTTTAAATTGTTTTCTTATATTTTTGTATTAAATGTTTTAATCTTCCTTGATATCGAATTTGAAGTCTATCCTGTGAATAATAAAAAAGTATTTAGCCGTTTCATATCGGTCAGGACATTAGTGATTTCAAAGTCGAAGTTGGTCAGGTCAAGTTTTCTAACTATTAAAAATATTTTTTTAATTTTTTTTCTTTTATTTATTAAATTAATGTTGTCATCTTGCTTGGTTCCAAATTTAAAGTAAATCCTTCAAATAATGAAAACGTAATTAGCATTTTCATATCCGTCAGGACTTTGTCAGGACATTGTCAGGACATTGTCAGGACATTAGTGTAACCCATCATGATGTACATGAATATACGGTACATTACCGTGCGGACATGACAACAGTCCGTCTTCTTCTTCTCTTAGTAAATTCCTCCGTTATCGGAGCACCCATGTCACACGGTGATAAAAGCCCTTAATTTTAATGAGACTTATTTATCTTTTAAATTAAAAATTCAAAAAGTTGTAATGTTGTACAAATTATAATTTGTACAGATTTTTTGTACAAGTTATCAATGTTTTATGAACCGCTAAACACAAATGGATGATGCAAGCACACAGTCTTTTGTTTCGCATATTTCTGTCATATTTCCACAACTACATGATACAGTCTAATACTGAGCATTGATACAAAAATATTATAAGAACACGAAAAGAATTTTTATGGATATGATTTTGGTATCAGGAGAAAAATAAAATTTAAATTTAAACCATTCAGGTGTGCTCATTTCAAGTTTGAGGATAAAGAGAATAGCACTAAATGTTAGGTTGAAAAATATAAATTTGAATTTAAGACATTAAACTGATACATTTTAGAAGATACATTTTTATCACCTGGTGCAAGAAGGTATGTGTCAAAAAACTTATAACTTGTACAAAAACACTGTACAAATTATAATTTGTACAAACTTACATCTTGTACACAACATATATATACAATATCTGGCTTAACCCCCGAATTACTTAAAGTTTGTTTATCCATTTCCTTGTATAATTGTCTGGTACTTGATGGAGGTAAATTTAATGATCAAGTTATACATAGTTATACAAATTTATTATACTGTATTTACATAGTTCTAAAATACATCCACCTTCTGAAAAAAATGTGGGTGAATTAGAGTACAGGAAGATAATAATTCAATTGCTGTCCATTTCCTGGAGATTTGGATAAAATAACGGATTTTCTGTTAAAGAAAGTACATGTACATGTGGGGTTTTTTTCCATACAAATAGGCATTCAGTAATATAAAAAAAATCATGTTTTTTGGGTTAAATTTGAACTTATAAATATTATGACCTCAGGTGCCTGTTCCAATTTAAGGTTCTGTACTCTGGGACATAATATATTGACTCTACTATTCCCAGCTGTAATTGTAATTTAGTGGTTGTCTTTAATATCAGAAGTCCATTACTCCAGTAATGTTTTTTGGCGTTTATTGTTTTAGCTTTAATCAGGCCGTTCACAAAATCTTTACATTTTGATGGACAATGATCTATTTCTGTAAATTGAAGAAGGACTAATTTGGCATCGTTCCTTCTTCTTTTCTGCGACTTCTCTTAGGGTGATTTGCGTACAATTTCAACATAAAACCAGAGTTTTCCAGTGAAGAGTAGAAATTCGTTTTAGTTTTGTTTTAATTTTTTCAAACACCTTCAGTTTGCTATTGTACAAAATTCCAATATCCTGTCACGAAGAAACCATATTCTTTCTGTAGATGGTTATTGTTCTCAACTTCATCGCTAGATGTAAACTGGTTGCCCACCAATAGCCCCAAACAGACCTCATAGAATAGTAAGTTGTTGGAATCAAATGGCAATAGTAAGACAGTTTACCATATAATACACAAATAAACCTTACGATTTTACAGTTAGGGTTTTTTTTTGCTTGTGAGAGAGCTGTCTACATATTCCATTATATTAATGTTCTTTTTCTTTTCGGTCTCTTGTGGAGAGTTGTCTTATTGGCAATCATACCACATCTTCTTATTAGTTTTTATGCTTTTTTTCAAATGAAAATAAACATATATTTCACAACTTGTTCGCTATGTCCGTGTCTGTAGTCGCGTTTTATATTTCAATGAACGTAATTTGTGTATAACTGGTAAATCATTAAGTCAGGGATTTCGTTTTCTTTCATAGATGCAAATATTTGGTTGTACCTGTAGAATTCTCATTATAAACGGACTATCACACCCCAATTTTTACGGTGATGTTGTTTATAGAACCGTAAATTTAGATACGATCCATGTAGACTAATTGATCCTTTGGATAAAGTTATTCTTAAAGGTTAGCTATATTTAACGCAGTAGTAAAATATTTAAATAATATTTTTATCGATACTTACATTGATTTAGTTTTTGAAAAATTAGGATAACTAAATATATTGTTATATATAATTGTACAGTTATGAGAACTCACGAAGCTACGTCCTGTCGATACGACAGTTTACTTGTATAATTTGACAGTGCACAATGTCATGCGTTTCTAAGACTTTTTACTGATGACGTTTTTACACTTAATCCGTAACGTTGAATGTATATTGATTGAGTCTTTAGTCTGGGAGAACATGATTTATTTATTAGTTATTATCGCTATTTTACGAATTTTTCCTTTGATCTTGCTGACTGATAATTTCCGTTCTCAGCGGAGTCGAGTGATATGAAAACGGAGTCGAGTGATATGAAAACGGAGTCGGGTGATATGAAAACGGAGTCGAGTGACATGAAAATTATCGCTTGAAACTAAGGGAACACGTGCCGTTGACAAGGAAAGTAACAACGTATTATATCAAAAGAATGAACCACCATTTATTGTAATAAGAAGTTGGTTGATATTTGCGTAATGTAACATGGTCTGCTTACTGTTCTTTTCCCTCAGACTCTCAACAGACGAACTACATCTGTGAGAGCTGGTTCTGATTTTTACATGTTCGGGGGAAACTAGCTTAGAACAATGCATTTGATGGTGTATGGCATT